GCACCCGTTCCTGCTGCTTGGTCCCCTCCCTCACACCGCGGAGCAGCCCCACTCCTAGACCAATCCCCATCTCACAACTGGCCCCCCATAGCCTGGGTCCCATGCAGCTCCCTGAAGGTCAGTGAGACTAGGAGCCTGCGCTCACAAAAGGCTATCACCTTGCCACGCTTGCTCAGATGCATCAGATATATCAGCCAATATTTTAAAAAAATCTGTTCCTAAAGATAAGCTCCTAAATCCATGTTCAATAATTAATTGAGCAGGAAAATCAGTAAGGCAGTCTTAAAGATGCTGGTGGTTCCATGTGCCTTCTACAACATCAAGTTCAGCAAAACTCAAACTTTTGACAAGGAAATACAGAGTTAAGATATATGCCTACTGATCATATCGCTGCATCAACTCCTGGAAATCATCTGGATATGGTTGATGTGTTTGGGCTCCTTCCTGACCCATGCCTGCCTGATCAATGGAAATAATTCATGTGCACCTTGCTTTACTTAGCTGTGCTGTGTTGGTTATTAGTAGCAGGGCACAGGTATCTTTGTGAAGAGGACTGTCAGTAGTTGGGTGGAAAATGAGTGTAGTCTGTGATTTTAATGGACGGTAAGTGAATGTATTAGATGTCATTGTAGGCATAAAGATGCAAGTGTTGTCAAATGCACCAGATGTGATTTTTCAAAGTGAGTAGAGTAAGTGTCTGTAGACAGCTGCTGTAGAATGTATAGGCAAGCTTGTGAGTGCTGTAGAATGTACAGGCAAGCTTGTGAGTACAGGCAGTCCCCGGGTTACGTACAAGATAGGGACTGTGGGTTTGTTCTTAAGTTGAATGTGTATGTAAGTCGGAACTGGTACATATTGTAGGGGAAACTCTAGCCAAACATTTCTCCAGAGCTCAGTTTTATTCTCCCACACCTCACTTCCCTCAGTCCTTTATTCTCAAGCTGAGGTGTCTGCTGAGAAAAGCCGCTCCGCGTCTCCCTGGTCTGCTGGGGGGGGGAGCGCTAGCTTCACGTCTCCCTAGTCTGCTGGGGGGGGAAAGCAGCTAGTACGGGGTTGCCTCACCCCGTTTGTAAGTAGGGATCCGATGTAAGTCAGATCCATGTAACCTGGGGACTGCCTGTACTGTATGTGTATTATTGCTTGTATTGTAACATCACTCGGAGTTAAAGTTGCATAGATGTTAAGCTTTATATTTTATGATTTTCAAAACTTTAAGGTACAATTCTCCTGAACTGAAAAGTCTAGGAGGACATGAAATTCCACAAGGCAACCATATCTCAGCATTAGTTTAATTTTTTGTTATTAAATCTTAGGTTTTTTTTAACAGAAATGTTGATAGGAGTTAGCGGTCATTTAGGCAGTAATAATGATGTAGGTGTATAATTCAGACACTACTGTGGCTAGGTAACATTAAGAATAGTACCTAGTTTTTTTCATAGTGCTTTTCATCACTACTAATACGGGAAACATTACCATTTTTGTGCAGCTGGAAAAACTGAAGTATAGAGAAGAGAGATGGGAGGGCTATCTATTGAATAGGAGGTTCAGATACAGGCAGTCCCCGGGTTACTTACAAGATAGGGACTGTAGGTTTGTTCTTAAGTTGAATTTGTATGTAAGTCGGCACTGGTACATATTGTAGGGGAAACTCTAGCCAAACATTTCTCCAGAGCTCAGTTTTATTCTCCCACACCTCACTTCCCTCAGTCCTTTAGTCTCAAGCTGAGGTGTCTGCTGAGGAAAAGCCGCTCCGCGTCTCCCTGGTCTGCTGGGGGGGGGAGCGCTAGCTTCACGTCTCCCTAGTCTGCTGGGGGGGGAAAGCAGCTAGTACGGGGTTGCCTCACCCCGTTTGTAAGTAGGGATCCGATGTAAGTCAGATCCATGTAACCTGGGGACTGCCTGTACTGTATGTGTATTATTGCTTGTATTGTAACATCACTCGGAGTTAAAGTTGCATAGATGTTAAGCTTTATATTTTATGATTTTCAAAACTTTAAGGTACAATTCTCCTGAACTGAAAAGTCTAGGAGGACATGAAATTCCACAAGGCAACCATATCTCAGCATTAGTTTAATTTTTTGTTATTAAATCTTAGGTTTTTTTTAACAGAAATGTTGATAGGAGTTAGCGGTCATTTAGGCAGTAATAATGATGTAGGTGTATAATTCAGACACTACTGTGGCTAGGTAACATTAAGAATAGTACCTAGTTTTTTTCATAGTGCTTTTCATCACTACTAATACGGGAAACATTACCATTTTTGTGCAGCTGGAAAAACTGAAGTATAGAGAAGAGAGATGGGAGGGCTATCTATTGAATAGGAGGTTCAGAGAGGTGTGAAGTTGATCACTGATCTCAATGTGGTGTTTTCAGCTGAATGGCATCAGTATGGATCAGTGGAAGCTTCCTGGAACAGTCTGTGTGAGCCCTTGCCCTGCCATCGTGCTTGAACCTCCTTCTGTCCACATGCGCCTATGGGAAGGGAAAGTTGCACTCTCCCAGCAAATGCGCCCCTGCCCTACCTTGCTGTCATGCCCAAGTCCCTTCCCCCACAGACCTGAGCCCCAGACTGTCCATTACAATGCCTGCCACCAAACTCAGTCCAGCTGCTCCCCTAAGATCTCTGTTGTATACCTGGGCATGGTGGGCTCTTACAGCATTATTATGGCCTTATACATAGCACATTCTTACTGGTTTTGGACAGACCTTCCTTTATGCTAAGAGATTAGGTTTTATGCTCCATAATTTATCTCCTGTAAAGTTTGCCCTTCACTTTTTGTTGTATAGGGTACAGCAGCAACATGCTGCCCGCTCCCACAGCTCCTCCAGCTTTCTGGCTAGCACAAATTCAAAGGTGAAAACGTACTAGGGATAAAGGAGCCAATCCAATTCACCCACTTGACAGGGAGCAGTTGAGTGAAGGAATACGCAGCTGCAGGAGATGTGAAGACTGGAGAGCATGCTGGGAATGCAAAGTGAAGACACAGGAGAGAGTCTTGATGGTCATGATGTGCATGGTAGACTTCCAGGACAACCACATGAACAGGCACCTTCTCCAGTGAATACAGGCCCACATTCCCTCCTCACCATGTTCAATAGCCTCCTCTTCCAGGGGCCCTAGAATGTGGGGGTTGGGAAGGAGAGTTAAGGTCAGCCTCACACTCAACCCCCAGCCTCACACTCAACTCCCTGGAGCAAAAGGCTGTCCTCATACCTGTAATTGTTGCACAGGGAGATTTTAATACACCACTTTTGCTTTTCCCCTCTTTCCCCTCCCCCCAAAGCTCCCGACCTGAACTCGTTTTCTGTCCCTGTTTTCCCTAAATAAAAATGCATGATTTCTCAACAACAGTCTCTTTATTGCTTGTGTTGAAGTCGGGAGAGGGGGGCTAAAGGCAAGCATATTTAATGCAGGGGGCACCTCATTAAGAGCAACATGTATGACTGTCATCACTTTCTGGATGTTCACAAAACTGTTTTTCAAAGCTTCTCTGATTTTCAGTGGAAAGCCTCGCTTGATGTGCTCTTCTTATTGCTCTTGTGTCTGGCTGCTTGTAATTATTGGCTAGGCACTCCGCCTCAGCCATGCTCCATGGCATAAAACTTTCTCCCTTACTTTCACAGCTGTTATGGAACACACAGCAAGCTGCCGCAACAATGGGAATGTTGCTTTTGATGGCTGAAATCTCACCTAGCCAATACACTGCAAAAACTTCCCTTTAAACATCCAAAAGCACATTCTCCCACCATTCTGCATTTGCTCAGCCTATACTTGCACTGCTCCTTACTGTAGTCCAGGCTGCTATGTACAACTTCAGGAGCCATGGGAGCAAGGAATAGACTGTATTTCCAAGGATTACTATTGGCATTTCAATACTTCCTATGGTAATTTTCTGATCTAAGAAGAATGTTCCAGCTTCCAAGTGTCTGAAAAGACAGGAGTTCCTTAAGATGTATGCATCATGAACCTTTCCTGATCATCCCACATTGGTGTCAGGGTGGTTAAAAACTGGAATAAATTGCCTAGAGAGGTTGTGGAATCTCCATCACTCAAGCTATTTAAGAGCAGGTTGAATAGACATCTTTGAGGGATGATCTAGATGGTGCTTGGTCCTGCCATGAGGGCAGAGGACTCGACTTGATCTCTTGAGGTCCCTTCCAGTTCTAGTATTCTGTGATTCTATGAAATGGCCCTTTTGATCCACCAGTCCCTGCAGTACCATCGAGAAGTACCCCTTGTGGTTTATGTACTCTTTTGGCATGGTGGTCGGGTGCCAACTTGGGGATGTGCGTTCTATCACCCCAACCCAGTTAGGGATCTTCATTGTGGCAAAGCCAACCCACTATGCCCTGCATGTTTCCAAGAGTCACGATGTTTTGTAGCAGAAGGGTATTGATTACCTTGGCTACTTGAATCACAGCAGCCTCCATTGTAGATTTCTCCACTCCAAATTCATTCCCAGCTGACCAGTAATTGTCTGGCATTTCAAGCTTCCACAGAGCTATTGCTACTAACTTCTCAACTGACAGGGTGGGTCTCGTTTTGGTATTGCTGTGCTTACAAGTGGGAGAAAGCAAAATGCAAACTTCCATGCAAGTGGCCTTATACATGCAAAAGTTTTGCAGCTACTGCTGATCGTCCTATAGCCACATAACTATGCAGTCCCACCAGCCTGTGCTTTGTCTCATGACACCAGGGCACAGGTTTGCTTGTTGCTCAACTCAAGTATTTAACGGGAGTATGTTCATGGCCTCCCCAGATTGATAAGGTGCCAGATGGTTAATATGATTGCCATAAGACTTTGCTGCTGAACAGATTCCATGTAGGATTTCCTGCTTACCCTGCTGTGGTGTCTGTGTGGATAATCAGGGGGAAAAAGGGTACAAAGAAGACTGCCTTTGCTTTCAAGTGAGGGGAGGTAGAGAGTGCTGATAACTGACGAAATGTACACAAAACCACCAACTGCACTGCCTTGGTCCCAGTGGGCATTGGGAGTTTAACCCAGAATGCAAAGGGATGGCAGGAACTGTAGGACAGCCTCGTTCTCAAAGTTGACAGTAGTGTATTCTCAATAGGGTGACTATGTCAAATTCTTGCGCACAGGGGGACATGCACCTTCGACTTCACATAATTAGGGGCTAGAAAATCTACCTTAATAAGGTAGAATTTATCTCTCAGTCTAGACAAGGCTTCAGTGTGTGTGTTCTCCTCTCTACTTCCCAGTACCAGAGCTTGAGACCCTGCAATATGCTTCAAGCATGCCCATTCCCAGCTTCTCACCCCAGTCACAGCAGTGTGTTCTTGGTCCAGCACACCTGCTCTGTGTCCAGGTTTGCTGGACCAAGAACACACTGCTGTGACTGGGGTGAGAAGCTGGGAATGGGCATGCTTGAAGCATATTGCAGGGTCTCAAGCTCTGGTACTGGGAAGTAGAGAGGAGAACACACACACTGAAGCCTTGTCTAGACTGAGAGATAAATTCTACCTTATTAAGGTAGATTTTCTAGCCCCTAATTATGTGAAGTCGAAGGTGCATGTCCCCCTGTGCGCAAAAATTTGACATAGTCACCCTATCTTTTATTGGACCAACTTGTGTTGGGGTATGGCTACACTGCCTCTTTTTTCCAAAAAAAGCTATGCAAAATATGCTCTGCATTTTGCATAGCTTTTTTCAATCCTTTTGTCAGAAGAGGCTTTTCTGACATTTGTCCCATCTAGACTGGGCCAAATGTTGGAAAAAAACCCTCTTTCAAAAGCCTCCTTATTCCTCATAAAATGAGGAATACAGAGGCTTCCGAAAGAGCTCATTTCCTCTTCTGGAAAAAAAACCAGAAGAGCAAACATGACCCTGGACATGGAAGAGCTTTTTCCCGGGAAAACTCTTGGGTTGCGTCTAGACTGGCAAGTTTTTCCGCAAAAGCAAGTGCTTTTGCAGAAAAACTTGCCAGCTGTCTACACTGGCCACTTTGAATGTGCACAAGAACATTGACGATCTAATGTAAGATTGTCAGTGTTCTTCCACAAATACAATGACTTTCCCGTTCGGGAAAAAGCCCTCTTGCGCAAATGCTTTTGCGCAAGAGGGCCAGTGTAGAGAGCTGAGAACTGTTTTGTGCAAAAAAGCCCTGATGGTGAAAATGGCGATCGGGGCTTTCTTGCGCAAAATCGCGTTGAGATTGGCACGGACGCTTTTCCACAAAAAGTGCTTTTGCGCAAAAGCGTCTGTGCCAATCTAGACGCTCTTTTCCACAAATGCTTTTAACAGAAAAACTTTTCTGTTAAAAGCATTTGCGGAAAATCATGCCAGTCTAGATTTAGCCATGTAGTCTAGCCATACCCTTGGTGAGAGAGACAAGCTTTTAAGCTCCTCCTCGGGTTAGGGAAAGGTGTTCAGTGTCATGGCTAAATACAAGGTTGAACAGATAAGTCCAAAACTGATTGTAAAAAGTTACAAAGGGATCTTACAAAAGTAGGTGATGTGGCAAGGATATGGCCACTGAAATTCATTGTTGATAAAAGCAAAGTAATGCACACTGGAAAACATAATCACAACTATATATACAAAATGATGGGGTCTAAATTAACTATTACTGCTTAATAAAGAGATCTGGTTAGTTCTCTGAAAACATCTGCTTTGAAGCAGCAGTCAAAAAAGCTAACCATGTTAGGAACCATTAGGAAGGGAATAAATACAGAAAATGTCACTATCAGTCCATGGTATACCCACAATTTACTGCATGCACTTCTGCTCAGAGATGGCCTTAACAGATGGGCACTGTGGTCACGGGGATGCGGTCCAAGTGTTGCAATGTGTTGGGCCTGGGCTGCCAGAGCAGGTGTGAATGCAGGGGAGGCCAGGACTGGCAGGGAGGTGCTCCCCTTCCTGCGGACACAGCTGGTGGCCACACACCCACTGTTCTGCTTAGTGTTTGGGAATGGATGGCCAGGGAAGCCTGGCTAGCTCCAGGGGTCAGGGCTGATCCTCACGCCCTGTCCCACACGCTGCTTTTGCAAACTCAAAGAAAAGGTTCCAAAATGCAAGATCATCCAGAACATCACTTTTCCTAAGGCCAGCTCTGGTTTTGGTCAGCCCATTTTTAAAAAGATATACTGGAATTGTACGAATTACAGAGAAGAAATTATTAGGGGTATGAAACAGCTTCCATATGACATTTTTATTTTAAAAAAGAGATAATGGGAAGGGAGAAGATATAATAGAGATCAATCAAATTGTGAATGGCATGGAAAAAGTGAATAAGGAAATATTTACCCCTTCATATTACAGGCAAACTAGAGGTCATCTATCAGAATAGATATGCAGCAGTTTTAAAACAAAAGTATTCCTTCACACAACACACAGTTAACCTGTGGAACTCCTTGCCAAAGAATGTTGTGAAGGCTAAGACTATAAAAGGTTTCAAAAAGTGAGTTATATCTAAATTCATGGAGGAGAGGTCCATTGATGGCTATTAGTTAAAATGGTCAGGAATGAAACCCGAAGCTCTGGATGTTCCTAAACCTTTGACTGCTAGAAATTGTGACCAGATAACAGAATTTGGCTCTCTTGATAAGATCATGCTTCCCACTGAAGCATGACCACTTTTGGAAGACAAGATACTGAGCTAGATGGACCATTGGTCTGACACTGTATGGCCATTCTTATGTTTTTGTAATAGCCCTGTCCTATAACCCATGGGAGGCACAGCAATTGTCAAGGACATCTGAGGAAAATGTGGATTTTAGGGCACTTAGAAGTCAGCCATTAACCAGAAAGGCGTTCTTCACCTTAACTATGGGATTTAAGCATGTGCTTAAATGCTTTGCTGAGTCCAGCAAAGTGATAAACTCATTTTGCATTAAGCAGGGTTTTTCTCATTTTCACAGTGGATTTCTGTTGCTTCATTTTTTTTTCTGTTCTTTACAGGCTCTTAATTATTAATGTAAATATAACAACGTAAGGATGTTAGATGTGGTGTAATTGAAGAGTTGTGTACCCCATCAAATCTTAGCAGTTACACGACTATTCTGTAGTCCCTGGGGTTGGGGTCAGCAGCGGGGTGCCTCCTGGCACCTGTATTAGAGACAGCAGCATGGGATGGCAGGCGGGTGCTGATCC